GAGGAGGGATCCTTTGGGCAAAGGCCAGGCGGGGCACATCAGGCAGTAGACCCCTGAGGCAGGAAAGGGGCTGACACAGCCACAGAACTAAAATCCAGGTGGCAGCAGGAAGAGAGGGAGCCAAGTTTGGGGAGAGTGACAGACAGGAGGTGCAGCTGAGAAGAAGTGGCACATGGGCCAAGGAGGAGCTGGATTTTATTCCAAATCTCAGCAGCAGAGGAAAGACCTGCTCTGCTAGGTTCTGCAAACGGGGCTGTGAGGTCTGCTGGATGGCATGTACAGGGGCGGGAGGGTAGACTGGGGTCATGCCAAAAACAGGAATTAAGGTCGCCTTCTAGACAGCCACATGGCTCGTGGTGGGGCTGTATGCTGGGAGGGGAGTCGAGAACAGTGGAGAAACCAAGGTTGTGGAGGAGGAGATGACCTAGAAAGGGAGTGTACACAGATAAGAGCCCAGGCCTGTGCTCAGCTGAGTGGCCAGAGGCTGTGGAGGAGGAACAGGAGGACAGTCATGCAAAGCCTAGGGAGAAAATGTGCTAGGGGAGTGCTCAGGAGATGGGGAAGATGAGGCAGGGCGTCTAGCCCCTGATCAGCAAGATGGAGGAAATGGTAATCTTGACAAGAGAAGTTTGGGTGCAGGAATGAGAACAGTTAATTTAATCATGATGGGCCCCCTTCCTCTATAAAATGAGAGATTCCCAACAGATGAGAGTTAAGATTTCTTCCACTACTTGTTATGCTACATGCTTTTAAGATGGAAAATTTTTCCCAAAAAGGGGAAAATGATAAGAGGTAAGAAAAAATACAGAAGCTATGCTATTTGGGAGTTATTAGTCACACAAATTATGTGGTCATTGGTACTCTTTTACACAAAAATTATTAAGAGCATTTATACAAATTATCAAACAAGCCAAGGAAACAATTAAAATAGAACAACTAGTAGCCAGAATTCTTTTTGGCAGACCCAAATTATACAAGGTATACTATCAAAATAGAACCAAAAGCTACAGGTGGCATGAGTCTGTGACTCCAGCTACTTGGGAGGCTGTGCAGCAAGGCAGCAAGTTCAAGGCCAACTGGGGCAACATAGGGAGACCTTGTCTCAAAAAAGGAGGGGAGATAGTGCACAGCTCAACGGATTCAATAGACTCAATCCCCAACACCACACACCAAAAAAGAAAAAAACCAAGAAACTATCCCTGCTTATCGTCCATTAAAATTCCTTAACAATTATTCCCAGAAACAATGCACACTGACAGCCGAGTGGCACCTGCCAGGCTGTTGGAGTCCTTGGCTGTTTATGTATCTCTCACCCACTCTTAAAGGACTAGTCACTCTTCCAGAGGTCAGAAAAAGAAAAAATTCAAAGATATCAGGAATTTGCATATTGAGTTCATGGGACTGTATAAGATTTCATGAAATATTTATTTCTCTGCAGCTATATCTCACCCAGTGAAAACTTACCCTAGTGTTAGGTTTAAAATTAATATCTCAGCCCTACAAAGAGGGAGAAAGGCGGCAATAGAGGGCACCTTTGGACAAACACTTCGATGAAGTATATTGCCAATGCAGGTGAACCTCCTCAGAGCTTCTCTAAGCGTGTCACCTCCCTGTCCCCAGACATATTCCCATGTCTTGAATTTCCCTCAAGGTTAAGTGCTGAAATTTTACCAAGATCCTTGTTTTGCCAAGGGCACTCTAGACATATTTTCCTATTGCCTATTGACCGTTCTTTTGAAGCAAGTGAGGCTAGAGATTGTCATACTATTTGTGGACTTTGTTAATTTGGTTGATTAACCTGGCCCCTGTGTGGAGACAGGCTCCTAGGTGACTTGATAGAAAAATTAGACCGTGTATCAGAGGGTGTAACTGTTCTGTACCACAGGTCTAGTCCTTGACACTTTCCAAAGCAGTGGTTTGCCCTTGCCTTGAGAACTCCAAGCAAGGTACCAAGGGTCTTTTGCCCGCTCCTGGTGAGGACATATGGTTACATTCCTCTAGCTGAAACCCTGAAATGAGTCAGTAAAGACCAACAGCCAGCAGACGAACAGACAGCAGGACTTCTGGTTCCAGTGCTTCCACATTTCCTTCCACTATCATACATCAACAAACCTATGACTTTCGAACCCAGGAGACAGCTTCACAAAAGGAGGGTCAAGAGGGAGGCAAGACAGGTAATAATGTGTCAGGATCCTGCCACATCCTAAGCCAATGCAAGGAAATTATCTGGAGAGGCTTGTTAAAGACAGATTTCAGGAGCCATCTGGGATTCCCTAAACCCTAATTCCTAGGGAAGGGTCCATGAGAGGTCCTACTGCATACCTAAGCTTCAGAGCCACTGTTCCAAGCAAGTGTCCTGGTCTGCCTTGGAGTCCAGACTTCTACAAGGCAGAAGATTCTAAAGAATTCTAAATCTTCTAAAGAAGATTCCAGATTCTAAAGGCAGGTGAAAATAAATTACCCTTGAAAACTCCTCTAAAGTACTCATAAGACAAAATATAAATGGCTTTATGGGGGTTTACCCCATACAGACATGTTATGTACAATGCTTACGTAGTGTGAGACAAGAGGAATATGTATACATAGATGGTGAACCTGAGTAAGTTAAATGTTAGCATTATGTGACCCAGAGTCCCAAGAATACCATATTTGAACAATTGTCTCCACTTGAAAGATAAAGAGATAGGTGTGTTGGTTATGTGGCTTGTTTCGAGAGACCAAATGAGCAGGGCTGGAACCAGAATTCAGCCTTAGCTCTGTTTACTTCTAAACCTTGTCATCTTTTCATTTTTACCACACTGCCACAGGCCATTTTCAATATGGCCCTGAAGGGTAAAGTTCAGAAATGTTCCAGAAAGTCTAGGGCCACTGCTATTCCAAACATCCATTTGAAAAGACAATATACTGTAAACTGAGTGATAAAAATTAGATTAGAGGCATGTCCTATCAACATAGTTAAGAACCAAAAAAGGCTAACAAGACTCCAGCTACTGATAAGGCACCAGTGGAGTGGGGTGTGTTAGGAGGGATATGTTCAATTTTCAATATGAAACATCACTGTAGGTGATTTAAATATCTTTCGTAATTACTTCCTACTGCAGTTACCATTATACCTTCATTTTAGCAAAAATGAAAATTTATCTTTCTGAGAGAACAGACTTGCTGATTGGAGAACAAAATCTCAGAAAAGGGCTGCCCCTCCAGCAGCTTCTGAAATGCCAGGACTTGCAGCTGAGAAGTTACAGGTGCTGGCCGGGGTGCCCAAGCAGCTGCGTGCCCCACAACAGGTGGGACATCACTATTTACTCAGCAGAGGTATTCAGGAGAAGCTCTGGTGTCAACCTTTAGCCAACATCACAATCATCATGGCGGACCTGTTGACAAATTGCTGGGCCCAGATCCAGAGTTTCTGAACCCCCTAGCTGGGGAGCACCTGTGAACTTCCACGCCTGCAAGTTCCCAGGATGCTGGTGTTGCTAGTGTCAGAACCAGAATTTGAAAGCAACAGCTCCAGCGGGAACTCTCCATCCAGGCGTGACAAATCCTTCTGATCACAAAGGTACACGTGTTCCTTGTGATTTCAAAGTTCCCCTTGAGAACTACTAGCAACAAAATTTAAAGAATAACTTAATTCCTAGAATTTCCGAGACGGCTCCCAATGGAGTTGTTTTGCTAGTCAAATCAAATAAGGCCACAAATTAGGACTTTAACCACAGCCGGCTGTGAGGTAGCAACTTCCACGCCCGGGTCTTCCTCCCGGGAAGGCGGAGGCTGCGCGGACCACGTGCTCAGAGTCGCCGCAGCCAGGTACGGGCGGCCCGGGGCCAGGCTCTCGGGACGCGGCCTCTATCCCGCCAAGGACGGGCGGCCCCACCCCCAAAACGGCCCTGCAACTGTCCCGTGGCGCCCGCCCAGCCTGATTTATTTCCAGTTTCTTGAGTTCCCTGTGTCCGATGTGGAACAATCTCGCACCCCACATCTATGCTCCGGAGGAAAAGCGAATCCCACCAAGTTCCTTTCCCGGGGCCAGAGGACCCGGGGCGCGGAGGGAGAGGGCGCTAGGGCGGGGCGGGGACCCCTCCAGACGGACAGGCCCGAGGCGGGGGAGGGGACGGCCATCTTGCCCGGGGCTCTCCCGCAGGTCGGCGGGC